AGGGCAGGAGGCCCCTGCAGTGAGGGGCTGGAGTGCCCCAAGTGTGAGAGGCCTTTAAAATTAAAAAAATAATAATTATTGGTTGATTTTGGAGAGGAAGGCGGGGAGAACATCATCTGTGGTTCCACCCGTTCACGCATTCATTGGTCCATTCTTGTATGTGTCTTGACCAGGGATCGAACCCACAACCTTGGCATATCTGGATGTGCTCTAACCCACTGAGCTACCCGACTAGGGCAGAGGGCCTTGTTTCTTGATGTGATAAACATTTCTTCCAGAAAGTTCAAGCAAAGTATGGGATAGTAAAACACTCAACATACTAGAAAAGTCAAAAACATAAATAATAATCCCTTCGACGCTTTCATTGGGAGCCAGATGCACCCAGCACTGTGGGCAATACACTGCAATGCAGATGATCCATGATCTCCTTCCCTCCCAGCCGGCCTGCCACTTCTGCTGGTCTCAGTGGCTTGTCGGTCTGTGTGACACCCTCATTCCTGAGTATCTGAGACCAATAACCTTATTCCTTTCAGGCCAGGGTTGCCACACCAGTCCATTCACAGACACAGTGGAGGGCCATAGAGGGTAGGAAGAGGCACCTGCGTGATTCCCTGAATTCCTGACCACTGTACCTTATCCTGCTGGTCAGGGTCAGCTGCTCCACCAAGGCGGTGACTTCCCTTCTTGTCTGCTGGCCATTGGACACAAGGGGCCCAAAGTGGTGTTCTGTGTTCCAACAAAACTTCAGTTAATGAACACTGAAATGTGAATTTCATGTAATGTTTGCGTCATAAAATTTTCTTCATATTTTGATCTTATTTCCCCCTAAATTAATAAACTTAATTTCTTTTAGAGCAGTTTTAGGTTTACAGAAAAATCAAGTGCAAAATACAGAGTTTTCCCATATACCTCCTGCCCCATAACCTCTTCCACTGTCAACATCCCCAACCAGAGCGGTACATTTGTTACAGATGATGAACCTCATTGACGTCATTGTCAGCCAAAGTCCATAGTTTACATTGTGATCAACTCTTGGTGTCCTGTGGATTTTGACAACTATATAATGAAATGTACCCACCATTACAGTATTGTACAGAATGGTTTCACTGCCCTAAAAATCCTCTGTGCTCTGCCTGTTCACCCTGATCTTTTTAAAAACAACAACAATAACAAAACCAAGCATTTAAAAATGTAAAAATTATTCTTCACTTGTGAGTCATTCAAAAACCGGTAGGTTAGATTTGTCCCACAGGCTATAGTTTGCCAACCCCGATGTGATGAATCACTGAGATGTTCTGTGGGATATCCAGGTGGTCCTGATCTATTCAGACTATATTTTGACAGAGATCGGGAGAGTTAACATCGCCCTGTGAGTGTGAATATGTATTATTGTTAACCTTTTAAATATTTTCTAGTCTGATAGAGTTAACGATGACTCACAGTGTTTTCAGTTTCATTTCTCTGGTTATATGTGAAGTGGAACATATTTTCAAATGTCTCTTTGCCATTTGTTTCTCTTGTGAGTTGCCTGTTCACATTCTTTGCCAATTTTTCTATATGGTATTTTGTCTTTGGGGTCTTTTTTGGTATTGATTTGAAAGAGGTTTTTCTATATATATATTTAAACTATTAAAAAATTTTAAAATTGATTTTAGAGAGAGAGGAAGGGAGAGAGAAAGAGAAAGAAACACCAGTTTGCTGTTCCACCCATTCATGCACTCATCGCTTGACTCCTGCATGTGCCCTGACCAGGGATGGAACCTGCAACCTTAGCAGGAGACGACGCTCCAACTAACTGAGCCACCAGCCAGGGCAGAGGCGTTTCTGTTTTATAGAAAGCGAACTTTTGTCAGACACCTTTTACCAGTTTAGCCCTTGACTTTCAAGGATAAAATTTTAAAATTTTAGGAAGTAAAACCTTACAATCTTTTATTCTCTTTCCTGTATTTACTTCTAGTGCTTTATGATTGTGCTTTTTTAATATCGAAATTTGTAACCATATGGGAAGTATTTTTTATATGGTACAAAGTCCCAGGGAACATTCAAATGTAGACTTTAAGTACAGGAATGGCTTGAGTTTCTCTGTTCTTTTCCACCACAGGGAAGCGCTCGGAGACTATTTAGATGGGAAGAAGGAGAGTGAGGAAGATCAAAGCAAGAGCCATAAACAGAAAGAGGAAAGCAGGCTGGTACGAACCGGAGAGCCAGTGGGGCCTGCCCGTCCTGGGAGACTAGAGAGCCGGGTGCCAGGGCATGGTTTTTGTGTTTAGACTAGAAGAAACTCAGCGGAGATGAGATCTCAACAGAAATCCTGTTTCCTGTCTCTAGGCAGAACCGAATTTAAATCTTTCCCATTTGGGGAGCTCTCTGGGAGCGAGCTTTCGTATTCTAGTTTCTCGCATTGGTGCTGCCGCTTCTTTGCTCCTATACTTTTAATGGCATTCACTATTCATTATAAAGTCCAAATAATTTAGCCTGACATTCAAGAGCTTTTGTGGTCTGTTCCCATCTTAACTTTCCAATCTTCCCTCCCATTGTTACCCAATGTGGGCCTTTCGCTTGCCTGGGCCCATCCTCTTGCTCAAGTCCAGTGGCTCTGCTCTTTCTGCTTTGTGCCGTTCACCATCTGGAATCCGAGCCCCCTCCCCCTC